AGAGTCTTAGAGATGATGATGATGACAATGGTGATGATGAAAAGAAGATGGAAAAGTTCACCAAATTTTTATTATCACTTGGGCAGTTGATGAAGCTTGCTAAAGTTGAGACAAATTGGTGTAAATTTGAGCTTGATGTAGTTGAATTATATCTTCTGCAATTTTCTTGCGGTATTGATCAAGCTTTTTTTTTTTTTGATGACAAGGGAAACTTGGTCACCCCAGCTCAGTTTAACTCCTTCGGAGCCCCGCCAGCGGCCCTGGTTCGATTCCCCTTGTTCCCTTCACATCTACAAGGAGCTACCCTTAATACCAGGGGCTCATCCTCACGGGCAGAGCGCTGGCGAGCAGCGTGGGGACCACTGGGACGCGAACTGGTGAGCATACAACGGGCTGAGTTGAATTTGGTGACCAATAAAACCCCGGGTTTCCGTCCCCACCCTTAAACCAAGGGAAACCAGGTGAATGCGGCTACGAGGATTCGAACTCCTGACCAACAACGGGCAATAGCCTGGAGAGATACACTCCCCCATGGAGAGCTGCTGACCATGAGTCCCACCCGCGGGTGGTGTATTGATCAAGCTTTTTTTTTTTTATGACAAGGGAAACTTGGTCACCCCAGCTCAGTTTAACTCCTTCGGAGCCCCGCCAGCGGCCCTGGTTCGATTCCCATTGTTCCCTTCACATCTACAAGGAGCTACCCTTATTACCAGGGGCTCATCCTCACGGGCAGAGCGCGGGCGAGCAGCGTGGAGACCACTGGGACGCGAACTGGTGAGCATACAACGGGCTGAGCTGAATTTGGTGACCAATAAAACCCCGGGTTTCCGTCCCCACCCTTAAACCAAGGGAAACCAGGTGAATGCGGCTACGAGGATTCGAACTCCTGACCAACAACGGGCAATAGCCTGGAGAGATACACTCCCCCATGGAGAGCTGTTGACCATGAGTCCCACCCGCGGGTGGTGTATTGATCAAGCTTTACTACAGCTTTTGGGAACTCCAAATTTTACGTTGTTCAGGGACCCAAAATATGGGACCAATATGGGGGACAAGTGAGGTGTCCCCCTCCTATTGGATAATGAGTTGGTCATCATTAATGATGACCAACTCATTATTCAATAGGAGGGGGACACCTCACTTGTCCCCCCTATTGGTCCCATTTTGGGTCCTTGAGGAATTTTTTATTTGTTATATGAACTAATTAATAGAAATGGCGATAAGATAGATGCACTTTTCAGTGTCGCTAGATTAATGTGTAGATTTATTCATTGCTATTGACTATGGATTGAGATCTCATATCATGTATATAAATATATTTTTCATTTGGATATAAGTTGTTGAAAATTTACTTTGGGTTATTTGTATTTGGGTACCCCAAAATTTGTATCTTTTTTAAGTGTGATACTCTAAAAATTTTCTCTGACGCTTAGCTACCCCAAAGTTTACACGTTATTGAATGTCCTTGCATATTGTTTTGACACTTTAATACCCAAAGTTTGGAATATCAAAGTACAAATTGTGTAAATATTTAGGCATTAAACTTAAAATGTGTGAAGTTTTGGGTATCAATGTTAAAAAATGTGTAAACTGTAAGATATCAAAATGTCGGAAAAAAGCTTTGGGGTATCAAAGTCAAAAATTGTGTAACTATTTGGGCATTAAAGTTAAAATTTGTGTAAAGTTTTGGGTATCAATGTTAAAAAATTGTGTAAATTTTAGGATATCAAAATGTCCGAAAAAAGCTTTGGAGTATCAAAGTCAAAAAAGTGTAACCTTTGAAGTATCAAAGTTTCATATAAAAACTTTTGGGTGTCAAAGTCAAAAAAGATGTAAATTTTTTAGTATTAAAGTACAAATAACCCAACTAAATTTTGATGGGGGTGAACTTGTCTTTGGTAAAATGATCTTTGAAGTTGGGTCCATATAACAACTACTTTCCTACAATCTTTTATGTAAACCAAACAATATGATTTTATCATTTGAGGATTCTCAATAGAATCCAAAACAAACAATATAAAAGCTTAAGGGGCTGTTTGGTTGTATGTTTTTACCATGTAAAAGGATGGAAAGTGTAAAAAAGTAGGTCTCAATGTCAGCTTTCATCACTTTCAATTGTTTGTTTGTAGTTGTGAAAATAGTGTAAAGTGATTTCATATGCTAATGTGGCTTGTAAAGTGATTTCATAAAAAAAAGACATGATTTTAGGAGAAAGCTGACATTGAAGTCAGGAAAAAATAATAAAAAATAATTCCAATCAATATGATCATTTGAGTAGGGACCACTTTTTACACTTTCCAAATAAACAATTAAAGTTACATTTGCAAACCAAACAAGCAATTTATGATTCCAATGAAATCAAAAACAAACAAAAAAAAGTATAAAAGTGAAATTGATGAGGGGGATAACAACTTTCCAAGTTGTGTCATAAATACATAACTTTACTAACAACAACCAAACAGCCCCTGAATGTAAAGTGATGAGATGGACAAACACTTTCCATGTAGTGTCATAAATGTCCAAGTTCATAAAAGTACCCTAGAGAGGGGGGGTGAATAGGGTAATTGCTAATCTAATCCGATATAGATGTCAAATTAAAACTTATTAACTAATATCCTAGCAAGGATGATGTACAATGAGATATGCAAGGATAAACAATAAACAATAGGCGATATAAACTATGAGATAATAGGCGATACGAAAATATACACAATAATAAGTGTACCCATGACAAACCCAGACAAACAATATAATCACGGAGTTCGGTCAACCCTCGACCTACGTCTCCGCTCCTCTCCTCGAGGAGATTCTCCACTATCTCAAAATCACTACACAATCGGTTTTCAAAGCTCACCAAAAACTTTTATAACTCACACGTTGATAATCACACAATACACTTCTCTAAGTGTTGGCCGACCCGTGTCACATTCCTCAAGTGCTTGGAATTACTACATCTCTCTAGGCTTTTACAACCAAGCCACACCTCTTAGAATTGACCATGTTCTTCTCCCAACCACTCCTCTAAGCGTCCTTATGTATTATAATGTGTTCTCAACAATTAAGCTCAAGTAAATGATTTTGTTCTCTAATACAAATAAGAACGAAAATGAAAGCTCACTCAATTGTTACACTCTCACAACCCAAAAATATACGATATGTGATATAACTTAAGCTCAAGTGGGTGTGGGTGTAAATAAAGAATAATAACAAAAATTAAACTCAATTTAAATCTAACTTATAGATATGATAATCAAAAATATATATTAGCTAGAGATTTGGATTTAGAAAACTTCTCCAAGAACAAGATAAATAGAGATTTGAAAATTGATGCTCAAAACCGAAATGATCTCCTCCTCTTGTAAACTCTTTTGCAAAAACCAAAACACACTTTAAACTTTTGTAAACAAACTGATAAAACTCAGTTTTAAACATCCATTAAAGAAAAACAAGGCTTAAAGGCTATATATAACCTCCCAAATAAAACATCATAAAACTAGCCGTTACAGGGCAAACTAGCCATTATCGGTCGACTAATGAACATCATCGGTCGACTGATA